TCCGGGATTGAGTCAAGTGTGATGTATCTAATAGGAGATGCAGAAAGGGCGTGCTTTAAGTACACTAGGCACCCAACTACGCACCTGTCAATCTTATTTGTTCTAGAAACTTTGTATCTCTGAAGCAGAACTTTGTTTGTGAGAGTATTTTCTGTGATCCAGGTTGCAGTACTAAGGATGATATGAGGACTTGATGTTGTGACAGAGTGTTTTAGTTGGTGGAGCTTATTTGAGGTAGACCGAAAATTAAACAAGACCGGTAAAACCCTATTCGTGTGGCGATGGGTATCGGCACTGAATGATGTAGGGGAGATAATAGGCGATGCAAACAACCGATCAGGTGGCGACGGACAGTGTGGTATCGGGAGTGCCTATCGATCGTGGTCGACTTGGGTGTCTTGGACTGAGCAGTGAAGTGCTTCGTAGGAAGTAGTTGGGTGGTTGCATATCGAATTGTCAGAGCCTGGAACAAGCATGATCGACTAAGCTGAACATAAGGGATATAGCAAGATGACAATCGTTGTGAGAGATCAATAATGTAGGTTTGTAAAAGGTTATCAATAAGGTCCGCGGGGCAAGTAGCGATGGAGCCAGGGGTATGGAGGGCACTAGTCAGGGAAAAAAATGATTTCTTGGCTGCGGATAACTGCAGTGATTCGACTATTTCCACGCGCGATCCAGTACGCTACAGCTTCATTTACAGTGTCCAACAGATCAGGTGAAGCTGGACCGTAACTGTTAGGTTGTGTAGATGCAGCAAAATCGCCTTGTGATTGGTCAACACGTTATCCGTCAATAAAAGCATGCCTATTTTTGTGTATAAACGAGTTAATACCAGCCAAATGTGACAGATTACATTTTTGCTGTTCCTGTCTGTCCTTGTCGTTCTCCTAGTACGCGTTGTGCGTGTCCGAGTCATTTCACTACGTACAACCGGCCGGTTAGATACGATTTCTACACTTTGCAAATTTGGCCACTCCCTTCCAACCGTCCACCTCACACTATCTTCCAGTAACTCACCTACATCACTTCACTCCTACGCCCAACTATCAACCTTTTGCTGTGTCCTTCCAACAGGGGAATTATTGTGAGAATCGTACTTGGCGCGTTCGGTAGCCTGGAAATTGACCGGAACCACGTGGCCTAGCAGTAGAGCCTTCAACTCGTCGAACGGAACTGCAGTAGGAGCTCTCGGATATGCAAGGTCTTTCATCAACGAGTACAATTAACGGCCGCCAGCGGTCAGGAAGAATGCACTCTGGTTCTCCTTCTTCACATACTTTCGTATGCTACGCTCAATCCAGTCTTCAATTTCAGATGCACTATCATGCAGGTTCAAATGTTCAATACTGAGCAGCTCCATAACGCGACGCCAGTTGTGATAATCGTAATGAATTGAGTTTATAGTCCTTATCGAAATCGTCCCCCACCCAGAACTACGCGAAGGGAAGTAGCGAGAAGACCAAAGCTGCGAAATAGCACGTTAATTGTGTTGCAGAATGGGTTCGTATAAAAGTGTTTAATCAAAGAATGTAATTGGTAGACTCAAACATGACCAATCACAGGGAGGTTTTGACGGAATTATCCTCGGTGATCCTCATTGGTTGAGGCTCATCCGTGTACGTGGCTACGAAGCTGTACCCGATCGTATCACGTGTTACAGCTGCTAAATCATCACAACTAGGTACGGTGGAAGAATACGCTACGTATTCATGATATAGCCCTTTCTTTATTTCTGATGGGTGTTGTGTTTGGCACGTACAGTCATGTGCTCGCACACGCACGCATGATCCACACCCTGTGCAATCATGGACGCACGCCTGCAATCGTGCACATACGTACACAGTTGACATTTGTCGTGCTTCATCCCGGGCAGCACCGACCAATCAGATCGTATCACGTGTTGAACGACCTTGAATGACTTGATCCGATTGTACAGTTGTTTTACACTTCCGAGCACATACGTCGCTGACTCAAGCACTGGCATACTTGTTTGTGTTGATGGTTGGCAGATTTTGATAATGTTTTGAGGTGATCCAAATGTGAAAAGTCTTTGGCCTCGGCGGGATTCGAACCCACGCTTGGTCACCAATCATCGCTTTAGTACCGCGAGTGCTCTACCAGCTGAGCTACGAGACCACGCCGGAGGGCCTTCGACTTTCTGCATATGGATCACAGTATACCCGCCCAAATTACAGTAGCACATGGCATCCACCACAGTGAACTAGCTTGTAATTTGACTGCCTACAGCAGGATTTCCCTTTGTACTAACCGGACTCCACCAGTTAAGTGCATTGGGCATGTTTACAATGAATTGTTTGTGTTTGCACGTGCTCTCCTGTACATGTGCTTACCGTACGTTGCTACGGCAATAAACGTTTATCCACGCGTGTGCGCCTTCCTTTTCTTACCGAATTACGAACACCACAGGTGTCACCTGTCTCCCAATAATCAGCGCACTTGCCTCGTCGAGAGTACAATCTGCACCAATGAATGATTCTGATTCTGGAAGTAGTTATCAGTTGGAATCTTCCATAATCACGTGCTAATCGGTCTAGCTCTGCAGCACGAACAGAAGAAACGGCAGCTACTTCAGGTAATAATGTTGAGTCTTGTCTGATCCATACATATTCAGAAAGGGATTGTCAAGTTTATCCAGGTACGTAGGTCAGTGCGATTTGCCCGGGCAAGCTTTTTTGTGTCACTTCAACTGGTGCCCAAACCCATGACATGAATTGGCTTAAATTAGCATTTATTGGTTTTTGCTCCACTCGGAATTTCGTTATATTTTACTTTCCCCGATTACTTTCAGGCTCGGAGATAAAATACGCTGAGGTTCGTGTTGTGTCATGAATTCGGCAAGTAGAAGAGAGGCGCACGTGTGCGAATAAACATGTATTCTGTAGCAACGTACGGTGAGCACCAGTACATGCAAGCAACTGAAAACATAATCATGTATGCAAGTGCGTGAGTCAGTGATGTATGTAATCGAAAGTGTGAGACAATTGTAAAATCGGATTAAGCCGTGGAAGATCGTGCAAGACCTGATACGATCTGACTGGTCAGTGCCGTCCGAGACGAAACATAGCGAACTTCAACTGTTTACGTGTGTATACGCCTGCAAGCGGGTGTCTGTGATTGCATGGGGTGTAGATCAAGCGTGCTTGTGAGCATACGACTGTACAAGCCAAACACGACAGTACACATGAGCTTCGGTGTGCAGATTTACCCACTCATGTGTGAATTCACTTCACTTGGATTTTCCAGTTTTATTCTTTCGATTATCGCAACGTAGTTTCTCACAACTGATAGGTAGTGCACTCGTTTATCGCAAAACAAACACTCATCCGGAGCAGAATGAAAAGATCACTAGGGTGAAGCTTCTTCGAGGTCACACCATTTTCCCACCACAGTCCGTGAAGTTCAATATGAAAATGTGTAGCCGTGCACTGATATTTTGTGTCTGTGGTCGTGGTTCTGATTGTGATTCGAGTTATGTGGGAATTTATTGTCGTTCTCGTACATTCGACTGACGGGTTAGTTTTTCTGAATAGTGAATGAAGTCTGATTGAAGGTAACTAAAAGTACAAAATGGGTTCGGCTTTTGTTTTTGGTACAACACATTTTGCGAGCTTTAACTGTTCGTTGATTCATGTTACCACAAATAGTAAGTGTTTTCGATGATACATATTCGTACACCCGTTGGTAAGCATGCAACTAATATTAGTGGAGAGCACGCAACAGTGCTACAAGGTCAGTTGAAAATTGTAAAATCGAAGTCAGAATATTCGATCAGATTACCGAGATGACAAAATGGACAATATCCCGATTGGCTATCCAAGAATAATAAGTACTCTATGGTAAATTAGAAATTGCTTTCGTCTGCATTTCGAATAAAATCACTCGCCACATCCCAGTGCCTTACTACTAATTGCTCGTAACTAAAGATGTACTTTTGTATATTTTTTTACCCCTATACCACCATGTACGAGAACAGAACGTGTATATAAGTGCCGTTCTGAATAAGTTTCAAGTAGACCTGTAGCCTGATGAGGACTTTCTCAAATTTACCGCTTGGGATGGTTTCAAACTTTTTCTCAATAGATCGGCGGTTTCGATTAAAAATACGATTTCTGATCCATTCATATTGAGATTTACGCATCATACATCTGAATCGCATGTGTGTGTCATGACAACATGAACGGTACAAACTCCACAAATCAAATTACGTGGCATAGTGTGAACAAGGTAAACAAACGCGAACATTCGAATTCGGGTGTCATATTTCTATTTGGGTTTGTCCGAGTGCATTCTGTTCACTTGATTCCTTTGCTCCTGATCTCCACTTCAATCGCGGGCATACTTATGTGAAACTGCTATATGTGAGCATTTACAGAAAGCTTTTCTTCTTTTCTCGCAGTCTGGTGAAAAGCAGCTTTTCATATATTCCATGATTGCTGCCCCATAATTTTTGCTGACTAAATCCTGTATTACGGTTAGCTTGCCCACTAGTTTGTACACATTCGGTCTACTTCATTTTGCGCGCTTGTGTATCTAAGAAATGCATTATATCGTGACACACTTACCACAGAAATAACTTACTAGATGTGTTTTATCCTGTTAGAATGTAAACTGGTACTTCAATTTAACGAATAATCTTGGGTCTCGCTTTTAAATATAGTGCAATCAAAATGAGTTATTTGATATCCTTCTTTCATGGCCTTTGATCCGCACGCAGCTTTCAAACAATTATCATAAAGTTATATAACTCTTGTTTTCATTTTCAACTTTGGTTGTTGCACCTACCTCAAGAGATGTGGATGATTTTGCGGATGAAAATGGCAAAAAACGACGCTGCGATGAATTTTCTGTATGATCTGCAGAACAAAACATCAAATATCGAGTGAGACTTTTATTTGTTTATGACTACTATGCCCAACTTTGAAATGCCTTTAGGGCTTCTGATGATCCTGCCATGGATTGTTCGCATGCATTTGACTCTATCCGACTAAAGCATTTGTCCGAACACTGAACAGTTGTGATCGTTGAACCTTGGAAGAGATCAAACAAGAAGCTTTACCTTATCGAATTAAAACTACTGGAAAGAGATGATCAAATGTATGATGCTATATCCGCCCCCATCAGTCATATATCTTAGAAGGATGGTGAGAGTGCAGCAGAGATTGCTTTGTGACAAATTTGATGTGTTGTTCATGGTGCACCTGTGCGCTTGCACTGGTAACATTAGATTCTGTGACCAGAGACGAAACCAGTACTCAGTGTAAACGTTTGCCTCGTGTTGTTTCGGTTCACAGTAATGAAGTGAAACCTGTTGTGATGCCATTTCATTCGTAGTCACTTTTCGGTCGTTATCCATTCCTATATTGTTCGCCTTGCATTTGCATGTCCAATAACTGTCTGTATCACGCTCTACTTCGACCTGATCTAACATTCACACGCAGCTAGCTCCGTGTGTGTGACTATATCGATTGAACACTTTCGTCCGATTGAAACATGCTTAGGCTTGCGCTTGCCGAACGTAGATCCTGAATGCAAGTTCTGCCATACATATGTACTTTCGTTCTATTAACTGGTTTCTTGACTAAACATTTGGCGTCATGGCCACGACCTTACATAATGTCGGATCTTCTATATTCCGCTTCCAAAAGGCCATCTCCTTAATTGTGGAACTCATGGAAAACCACGTTTTTGCATTACCTTTCTGCCCTTCCGATTTTGACCCTTATACGAAAATCACTGAGGACGACATTGTGAAACTACTATGCTTGCACGTTGGTGCTGAAGGCAGGTGCTTATTCAAAGCACTACACCTTAGAAACAAAACTGTCGAAGACGCCATTGTTGCCCCGAATAAAAATTTCGATTTTCGTATGGACACATGAGTGAGTTGCTACAATTATTCACAACTGCTCCATGCATGGGATGAGTTCGCGGGAGATTTTATTATATGGATCACGTGTGCCGTACAACCATGTGCCTAAAATACCACTTCTAATGAAAAACTGGAGGACGTATTGTGAATTCAGCAACTGATTGCTGGATCAACGGAACCCTGCGTTCGTGAGGTCTTGCTGGCTGAAGACAACAGCACACTAATTTGACCGGTGTAGGTGATATTTTTCAAGTAAAAATCGTAGTACGTGAAATTAGCCGGATATTTCTTGCTACGGAACTCAGAGGAGAAATAGCGTTGTTTCCGAGATTGATGACTTTTTGGGTAATTCAACGAATGTTATACCCAGTGATGACTGTATCTGCACTGTTAGTTCACGTTCATTTGTACATGTTTCTTACTCAGTTGAACCCGAAAACCTCCTTCTGATATTCGCCGTGTGTATTTTGTTTTGCCGCTTAGGGTTATTTCTTTGCATATGGAATTTTATTCCGCATCACCCATCAATGTTATCCCTCATGCCTTCTACATGGAACACTCCAAGCATTTACCACTTTGACAGTCGTTATACGTTTAGTACCACCTCCACCCCATTCTCGTTCGCTGCCATAACATCTCATCTACTTCAATCTTGTCTCAGTTTCATTGGTTATTCTACTAACCACATAAAAATCACATTGACTGCAGTATGCACGTGTACAGATGCAGCAAAATGGTCCAGGATATATTGTGCAAACCTATGTTTCTCACTTCTCTTTTCAAATTTTTGAGGAGAAATCATTGTTTCCGAATACGATTCACATGGTAAAAGGGATAATGGCGAGTTCGTAGCTATGGAATTTCTAATTTCACGTGACAGTCCATCCATTCCCAGCTGGAAGGCAGTTAAAAGTCTGGATCTACTACCAACTTTGTTCAGTGAGGCTTCGTCACGACAATCAATGCATGCACCAACTTATGAGCGTCCATAGGCAAAAAGGTAAAGGAAGACCCAGTCACCGGAAACCACAATCAACGGAAAATATCCACCACTCAAGAGGTCAAAGTTGCGTACAGCACCTCGGCATAGGTGATGAAATCGCGTCCTAGAAGACTCTGTTGAAATACTGAGATTTCAAGTGAGTTCACCAAACTCCTAAATGGTTCCCTACGGGGCATGTAGACTGAGAGGTTCTTTGGAGTTCTCGGATGCAACATATATTCCCCATTCTCTTATTAACTTGCTTCGACCATTTGCAGGTATTGTCATACCACAGACTGGATCAGGAATTGGGGAAATTACTGATTTACGAGATTTTACAACTGGTAGAGGATATACTGATCAGATACGCAATGGAACGCAAGTTGAACAGCAAGCAGATAAAGCGAAAGAAACCTACAACTTGTCGATCCAGTTTTATTGCATATGTTGCATCGCCTCAACCCTGTGTTGGAGGTTCAAGTCAGTGGCATCATGACTCCAGGATAAAATCGTGGAAGATGTGATTATTCTCTTCCATTCACAAGCAGTTCGGGAAGTCCCACTTGGACCAATATATTTATGTGCCAGTTGGTGTGCCTTGATTCCATTTCGGTCAGTTCTGCCATCGTGCAGGTGTTCCACAGGCGAAAAATGGCATTTTCAATAGTTTGGGTGCTCATTCGCGTTGTGTAGCGATCATTCGGTATCTACTAGTTGTTTTATTCCGTCCCACTAGCTCTAGTGAGAACTCTTTTCCGCCCACGAATCATCTCATTTTATTAGGACAAAACACATCGATTATATGGTAAAAAACAATGATTGACGTCAATCTTTGCAGCGCAGACTAACTGGTTCATGCTGGAATCAAGTAGCCTGTCTTCTGATTGGTTGATTGGTCACACGACCAGGAACCACTTGACGGGATTCCATTCGTGTCTCAGCGATCCGCTGCTTTGTCACTTGCACTTCCGCTGGCACAAGAACTGACATCGGTTCCGGACAGGCGCTGACATGCCGATTGCTGACGGGACATGGTTGGCTATCGACCACGAGTCAGCACATACCCTCACACGAGTCTTCCGAGTCGTGACAACCAATGCTGCAGGCCACTACGAGTCAGTCGTTGGGATACTAGCCATCTCGACTATGACTTCGTAGAACAGTTTACTCCAGAGTCCCGAAATCAAGTGACTGATACACTCTCACGACTTCCAGTGACAGAATCAAATAAAAATGAGGTTATCGAGTAGATCAAAATTATTTCCGCGAATGCGGTGCAATAACCAGGCACTTATTGAAGGAAGATCAAGAAACAGATTCAACGCTGACTCAGATACCCCAGTTCCCAGGGTTGTCATGGACAGAAAGACGATCAGTTTATGTAGAGATTCCTCCTTGTTTCCTCCATCCCGATGAAGTATTCGTCGTTGACAATTGTGTGCTGCGCGGGGACCGATACGTTGTCCCTCGCAGTTTGATTTCAACCGTCATCCGGTACGACCAAGAGAACCATCTGCGAATCGACTGTACCAAAACAAGCGTTTGTGAGTTTTATTATTGACATGGACTCAATCATTCTGTTGAATTATTTGTTAGGGATTATTCAGCATGTCAGCTTTTCGATAAAGCTATCTAACCGATTTCTACATCAATCCATTCAATATTATATCCCATGCATTCATGGACCATGGGTTCATTGAAGAAAGCCCCCATGAATAAACAGAATATTCTCCTTATCACTTGCTTCTGCAGTAAATGGCCCGAAGCACTACAGTGCGGGTTATGGACATCCATCGTCGTCATTAAGTTACTCAGACACTTGCCTGCACGGTTTGGTCTGGCCAAGGAAGTAGTGACAAGTCACGGTCCTCAGTTTAGAGGCAGAGGGTTTCATGAATACGTTCGTATGAACGACATCAAGCATTCACGGACGGTTCCGTATAATCCAGCAGTGAATAGCACGGTCCAGCGCTTGAACCTAACGCTGAAGGAGACTATACACACTGTTCACCAAGAGAGTGAATCGTGGGATGACGCATTACTCATGGTAAAGCCATTGGTCCCCTTTATCCAATTCATGAGAACAGAAAGAAGACATAAGTCGCGAGATGCAAGCATTTCGTTTACTCTTGTCTACCGCGAACGTAAAACACTTTAGTTTATATATCATACAGCGAGAAGAACAATAGAGTGGAAACGGCTTGATTGAAAACTATGACAGTGCTTTTGGTAGGGGGAGGGATAAAAGTGTTCGGTTAGTGCCAATGCATTACTCATTGTCTTAAGCACCTATCGAACTGTTCCTCATTCACCGATGCAGAAATTCTAGCAGAGCTGACGCTGGGTTGATGAATCTGCACAAAGCTGAATGCGGTGGTTCCACCAAAGAATACGAATTAAACAGAAGAGATCTGAAGCAGATTCAATTATCAGGCTCCATATTACTGAGCCACAGAATCATTTAAGATTGACCAGTATGTAGGTTTTCCGACTGTTCAAAGAGAAAGGGGAGTTCCGACTGAGCGCACCCACGAAGGTTGAAGATATATACACACCAGGAACTTAAAAATTGCCCGATGGATCAGCGGTGAATGTAAGACCCCCCTATATGTCCCTAACGAAAGATTGACCTCCAAAGCCTTTCTGTCTAGATAGAGAGAAGGTAACAGCGACGTAGATCTTTCAGGACCCTCTGTTAGAGGATTAGGAAGAATGCGGTTTCCAGTCGATAGATACCAGTCTAATATATAGAATGGCTGAAAATTACCCACATTCTATTTTGAGTATGTCTGGCACTACATTTCGTGACAGACTTCACATTCATAATTCTGTGCGAATAGTGTAACCCGTCGACTGTTTTAATTTGCTTCGCCTTTTTAAGACATAAGGGTGTTGTTTCTCACCATACAGTCCTTCACACCGTAACTGCAACGGTTTATCATTACTGTCTATGCCCATGTTTGCACTTTACCTTGTTTGACATGCTTCGTACGACATGTGAATGGTTTTTGAAGAGAGGATAAAGTATTGATGCCAATTCATTTGTCGTCGACTTTCACCCGTCCTCACTGAGTTCGCACGCGTTGTGCCTGTCTGTATCACGCTATGCTTCGTCTTTCTCTACTCATCACTCGCAGCTAGTTCAGTGTGCTCGTGAACACAAGTTCTGTCGTGCCTACTTACTTTCGTTCTGTTTACTGATTTCTGGACGTAACAAAAGTGAAGCAATTGTATTGTTGTTTGTTATTAACAAAAAGGATGCCATTCTCATGGTGTGTACTAGTGTTGTAATATATGGCATGGTAACTGCCATTGGTTTTGCTGGTGAAATTGAAAACCGAACCATGATAATTATGACTCGTTGGGTTGTTTCAATCCATTGATATGTTGATTGTGCACTAAAAGTGAATTGACAATGAATACTGTCCATCATTATGTTGTTATGCGAGACAAAACAAGAAGGATCTTCAACACTTCGTCGAAAATACTCATACGGTGACTA